GTCTTCGATGAAGACGGGTATCGAGGTCTATGCTCATCGCACTGGTTAACGGAAGTGCTAGAATGTGACGACAGAGTTCGCCCAATGGAAGTGGAAAAGCTTCGATTGTACACAGTGAAGGCCTACTGACTGTCGACAATGGTGCTTGATCAATGGTGACGAGTCATGTTTGAAGGGTACGAGTCTGGTTTGGGTGGTTTGCGGGCATTAAGATTGATTGTTCTGATTCGAGGATTGGTTTGTTAATGAGTTGTATTTTGGTCTCATTATGGATCTGTTGATTTTCAGCATTTATAAATATGTACCTTTGTCTCTTTTATGACTATTTTCTATAACTCTTTTGTAATATCTAATAACAATTGTAGAAATTATAGTGAATCAAAGAGTTTCTCTTTCTCCCTGTAATAGATTGATTTAATCGAATGGGGGTAAACACGTAATTTGTGTTCATGTCTTACATCTTCCTCTTTCTTGCTCTAGATTCCCTTACACTGATTGTATGTTATTTTGTTGTTTGAAGTCATTTTTTTTGGTTGACATTGTTAGATTTCAATGATAGTTTGATGTGGTTGAACCTTTTAATTTCACAATAATTTCGAAATTAACCTACATGTTCTTTCAGAAGTTATCTTCACATGTCGCTTGAACATTATCTTTTAAATCTTTGAATTTTGATTATAACAAACAATTACTCAAACATGAAAAATGAACTAAATAAATATAAATTATCAGTCTCTTTCCTATTTCTTCTCATATGTGAGAAGATCTCAAATTGTAGTGGGTCTCTCTTCCCTACTTCTTTGCATACCAAACAAGAGAGATTTATCCTTTCTCTTGTATTTCTCTCTTTGCAACCTCTTTCTTCCCATCTTCTCTTAAAACAAACATACCCTAAAAAATTCATCCCTATTACTTAGGGGGTGTTTGTTTCAAGTTTAAGAATTAAATTCTCAGGAATAATCTTTAGAAAATGGTTATACTCATGTTTGTTAAGAGTTTGAAAAAAAAACTATTCCTAAGAATAAAGTTTCCAACGAATAAAATAACTTCCAATAACTTTTATAATTCCAATGATTTTATTCTCATGTGAAAAGGTGAGAATGTTCATTCCCATGAAATTTCACATGATTTTTTTATAAAAAAATATAACTACTAATTTTTCTGAGAATATCAAATAATATGTCAAACACATTTTCTTTAAAATACCCAAGAATCAAACTTCCTTATTTTTATTCTCGGATAACTTATTCCTGGAAAACTCTTTCGAATCCTTGAACCAAACGCACCCTTAAGTATTGAATTCAATGACCATTGAAAATGTTTTATGTCTTAAGATTTAGTTATATATCGAAATAAATAATGTTATTTAATACGAAATAATTTAAATAAGAAATATAAAAATATATTTATTATTAATTTATTAAATGATTTTTAATTTATTATAAATTAATTTTTTTTCCATAAAAATAAAATAATTATGATAAAAAATAATTGAGATTTATTCCTGCCTTTCTTATTTTCTTCTTTTCTTCTCAATTAACATTTCCAACAAATAATACTTGAAATTTTTTTTTTTTACATGAACATTATATGAAGGTTTATGTGTGACAAAATGTATATTACGAGTTTATCTCTCGTTGAGGATAAATAATAAATCCAGAGAAGGTTTTGTAAGTGGTTTCGCATAGACATGGATTTACATAGTTATCTCAACAAAAGAAGCTTCCAATCTCTCAAACTCACTTCATCTTCTTCTTCCCTCTTCCCTTTTCCTTCACTCTACAAAACCAAAGCTCCAACCATTCACTCCCCAAAATTTCCATTTCCACGCCTCACCAAACCTCTCTCCACCTCTTCCGCCGCCGTCGTCCAAACATCTCCGGCTTCCGACCAAGGTCATTTTTCTCTTCTCTTAACAACGAAATTGAAATTGAAGTTAAAAAGAAAACGTTGTTATTGCTGTGATGTAGGTGGAAAACCTCAATGGAAAGCCACAATTGACTTCAAGTGGATCAAGGATAACAAACAAACTGTTGCTGCTAATATAATGAACCGCAATTCTGACGCTGATTTGGAACTCATCCTCAACCTTTATGACAAATTGTTTATTCTTCAGAAGGTTATGCTTCTCTTTTATCTATATCTTCATTATCAATTTCCATTTAATGTAAAGTCTTTGTTCTTTTAATGGCTTAGCTAATTCGTTTCTTACAGATACCAGGAAGTTGAGAGGGTGCGTGGAGAGAGAAATGTGGTGGCTAATAAAATGAAAGGAAAATTAGAATCATCGGAACGTCAAGTACTAATTGAACAAGGTGATTTTGCTATTGCTCTCGCACGTTTTTAAGTGAATTTGTTTAAACTGAATTTTATGAGTGCAGGGAAGAATTTGAAGGAGGGACTTGTTGCTTTGGAAGAAGACTTGGTGAAGCTTAATGATGAGCTTCAAAGGGAGGCGCAGTGTATACCAAACTTGACTCATCCAGATGTTCCAATAGGAGGGGAGGATAGTTCCACTATAAGAAAGATGGTACTTTCAATTATCACAAATCTGTTCCTTTTTCTTTTTCTCAGTGAGAAGGTTGATGTTGGTCTCATTAATACTTCATGTATTTTGTGCTTTTTTTTTAGGTTGGCAGCTCTCCCAAATTTAGCTTTCCTGTCAAGGATCATCTCCAACTCGGAAAGGAACTTGATCTTTTTGATTTTGATGCTGCTGCAGAGGTATAGTATGATTAATTTAACACTTAAAACATCATATTTTTAAAGTTTGGCTGTTATTAGTGTCATTTTGAGGTGTAGGTTAATAGTATATTGTAACTACTACTAAAGGTGAAACAACACATTGTTAACATGACTTGGTTAGAATTTACTTTCCCGGTACTCATTATATTTTAGGACAAGCAGTGTGCCCTGGATGTAACATATTTTAAACACTGTTGAAGTTTGGATCTTCAAAAGAGATAACATAATTGGCTTTGACTTCAGCTGTTCTGTCTCGTGAATTTAACCTGCTGCTTCACAGGTTAGTGGTTCAAAGTTCTACTACCTGAAAAATGAAGCAGTTTTATTAGAGATGGCTCTTCTCAATTGGACACTCTCAGAAGTGATGAAGAGAGGCTTTACTCCACTAACAACACCTGAAATTGTACGGTCCTCAGTTGTTGAAAAATGTGGTTTCCAACCTCGTGCGAAAAATACCCAGGTTTGTGCGTATTCTTATTTCTTTCTCACCATACAAATTGGTTGGTCTTGTAATGGTACTCATAATGAGGCCCAGCCTTGTTCTAAAATGCAAAGTATTGCAACACCATTAGATTTTCCTTAAAAATACTTCTGTTTCATGTTTTTAGTATGCTGATTGAAAAGTATGGCGGCATCTACTGATGTTTCATGCCAACATGAAACAGGTTTATTCTATCGATGATAGTGACCAATGCCTTATCGGCACTGCAGAGATTCCTGTTGGGGGCCTTCACATGGATTCTATACTTGCTGCCTCAATGTTACCCTTAAAATATGTTGCACTTTCTCATTGCTTTCGTACGGAGGCAGGTGCTGCTGGCACTGCAACAAGGTAATTCATTATTGAGCTTACTCGTTTCTTTCATGTTCCTCGGTATTGATTTGGCCACAGGTTCGTATTGTCAATAATATTCAACCTTCTGCCGGCCAAAATTTACAGAATCAGTTAAAGTTCATACTCTTAAGTCTCATCCTACACTACATGTCAATGTTGATGTTTAAAGTATTTAGATCTTCTAAATTTTCTGATATCGAGTACTAATGAGCAGGGGCCTTTATCGCGTCCACCAGTTCAGCAAAATTGAAATGTTTATTTTCTGCCATCCAGAAGAGAGTGATTATTACCACGACGAGCTTATTAAAATTGAAGAAGACATGTTCTCGTCCCTAGGGTTACATTTTAAGTGAGTTTTGCTACTTGGCAAATCCTTTCTTCTTTTTATAACATTATCCCATTACGGTGTTTAATATAACTGAGCATTTTCTGCAGAACTTTGGATATGGCCTCGGAAGATTTAGGCGCACCTGCTTATCGTAAATTTGACGTGGAAGCATGGATGCCTGGTTTAGAAAGATTTGGCGAGGTCAGTATTTTATTCTTCCTGTTACGCTCTTTTGCTAAACCGTGGCTTTCTATATTTATAATCTGCCTGTTTACTCTTCATGTTTGATATAACGTCAGATCTCAAGCGCGTCAAATTGTACAGACTATCAGAGTCGTCGATTGGGAATCCGGTATCGCCCATCAGAAGCACTTGTTCCAGGTCCAAAAAAATCAAAAGGCAATCTTGCTCCACCGCAGTTTGTTCACACGTTAAACGCAACAGCATGTGCTGTACCGCGAATGATTATATGTCTACTTGAAAATTACCAACAAGAAGATGGATCTGTCCTTATTCCGGAGCCATTGAGGCCATTCATGGGAGGGGTTAATGTTATCACAAGAAAATCATGATATAGTGTATCATAACATTATTTTGTTTCTCATTTGAAACATGCTATTGCGGCATTAGATTGTGGTCATAGATGAGTTGAAGCAATTTCATTGAAACAAAAGTGTCTCTGATTAGTTTGTTGTACAATAATTAAAGAATGTAGAAGAACTATACAATCAATCAAAAAGTATAATTACAATAATGCAATTTACTAAAATAAAATTGCAATGAAGAATGTGGACAAGTCCTTTGCTATATTCAACAGCTCTAATCTTAATCTTTCTACATAACGCTCACTCGACTCAATAAATCCCATGTTGTCATCTACCAACTTTGTATATAAATAATCTCTCATTTTTTTTCTTTTTCTTCTATCAACTTTTTTCCCTCTTCAAGATATATACACTAAGGTCACTCAAGTCCTAATAACACCTTCCAAGTTCCAACTGAACTTTGTTTTAGATTGTGTTATGAGTCATTCTTTCACCAATATATGTTCAAAGGAAAAAGCTTTTGCTGTATGATGAGTACATGTTTATACTATATCGGCGATGATTCTGCCCGACATAAGCATTCAGGTAAAGGATTTGCATAAAATGTTTCTTCTGACCGAAACCTGTCGACACCCTTTGTTCCAGAAATCGGCCCTTTTCTCTTCCTTAACAAGCCAACCCTGTCAACACAGAACAAACCAAATATCATATCAAACTGTTAAATTACTTAACATATACATTAATGCTTTTCTGTTTTCTGCATTCTCATACCTTCCTTGGTGAAGGCCATTCACTTTATTGGACAGCTTTTTCCCCTCAACCATTAATCCATTTTTTAGTTTATCAAACAGACGAACGAGAGCTTTCCTGTTTAAAAGGAAATTCAGGATAATGAAATTACAAAAAATTAAGATTACGGATGACTAGTGCTGTTCATAGTATGGTTCCCTCAAAGAACCGAATTGTATTAAACTGAACCATAACAAAAGATTATAAAAATTAAATCGAACCGTTTCAATTTATTCATAACAGAACTGAAGTAAATAATTGATTTAGTATATTAGTTCTTAATTCTGAACCATACCAAACGGTTAGTAACTATTTTTTTATAATAAATAATCATTTTAGACTTAAAGTTTTTTTTGACTTAATCTAAGTTCCTTTAATTTAAGATTTTAGTTTAGTCCTTTATTTAATAAATATTACACTTAAGTCCTTCAAAAACATTTCTGTTAGTCAATTCAACCCTCTTCGTTAATTTTTAAAATATTTTTGAAGAATTTAAGTATAATGTTTATTAGATAAGAGACTAAACTGAAATCTTAAATTAAGTTAAAGAATCTCAGAATGAATTAAGTTTTTTTTAAAGAAAAATTTAGTTACCCGTTGCATATGTAGAATTATGTTATAACAGTAACACTATATTTCATGTCACTAATATACATTATTTGAATCAGTTAAAAAAAAAGAGTACTTGATGGGTGTTGCTGTATCTCAACATTTCATATTAAAATCAAATATCATACCGTGATTAAAAAAATGGAAGGAAAAAAAGTTTTCAGTGTAGAAAGAAAACTCATCATCATATAGTAGGTATTTTAAAACCGAGAGCTCGATTTCAGTGTGAAAGAAATGTCATTTTAAAAGTATTTTTGTAAGCATTTTTTATCACTAATACGTAATTAATATTGTTACCATTAAAAAATTGATCTTTTAAGAAATTATTTTTTTATTAAAAATAAACTTCAAAATTAAAAAATCAATATGAAAAAAATATTGGTTAACCAAAGTTCCAATATAATCAATTAATACCATACCATTTATGATTATGGTTAGTTAGTTGCTGATCGGTTCAGTAGATTTTAGTTCGGTTAATTATGGTTCAATTTGATTATTGAACTGTTTAATAAATTGTGGTTTAGTTCATAAACTAAAGACAACAATTCAGCTATTTAACAATGGTTTGGCTCGGTTCAATTTTGTTAGTTTTTTTAACAAGTCTAGGGATGAGAATGAGTAGGGTTTGGAGAGGGTATTATAGTATTTGTTCTCATATCTGCAATTTGAAAAAAATTTCTTCCCCGAATCCATACCCGCATAGACACCAATGTTTGTATCTGTATCCGTACTTTATGGGTACCTAAGTACTCATACACATCCTCGTTTATCCGCATTTCTAATAAAAAACAATCAATCCATTATAATTTATCATGTTATTTTAAATTCTTTTAACAATATTAAAAAATTTAAAATATTATTATTGAGTTAAAAAAACAAACATTTATATTAGAAATTATAAATAAGTAAAAATTTAATAGTGATATATTTGATAAAATTGACAAATTAACATGTAAACATAATAATAAAAATAAAAATATAGTGTGCGGGTATGAGACAGGTTAAGTAGTAAGGGATCTGTATCTGTGCTCATATCCACTTATTTTAGTGGGTAATTAACCGAACTCGTAACAGTAATTATTTTTGCAGATTTTTATCCTACTGGGTATTTTTGAGGATACCATGGATAAAATTGTCATCCTTAAGATAGATCTCTATAAATTCATCTGCTTAAGTGAGAGAGACTAACCTATCTGGAGATACGGTTCTTCCTTTCCCAAGAAAACGACGATGACCTTGAACAATCCGTGCCATGTTTCCAGGGTAAGAATGTACAAACACATCGCTTTCAATAGATACAATATAGTCAAGAGCAGCCATTTGAGATGCGTGATTTGAAAATGGTTCAAGTTCGTCAATAGATGCCAACTTTTCCTGATATTAGTTACATAGACTAAATCAAAACAAGTCTAAACAATGGTTTATAAATTTTGACAAAAGACAACAACAAAGTATTGTATAGTTTCTACCTTGCTCATTAAAAACGGATATCGCGATCGCAGTTCAGTCATATGAGACTCACCCCCATATATCTCCCCTGCAGCAATATATATAGGAGTCCTTGTAGGATATCCAAGAGCATTAAGGAAAATTCCAACTTCCTTTGGAGTTAAGGGACAATTCCCTTTAGACCTCTCTTCAGTAGGATTGATATGCTTTCTTTTCCAATAAGTAGTATTCTCTCTGCAAGTTTAGTTCATCAGATATCAGAAATAAAGCACAAGACCTCAACAAATTCATTACCTGATAATTCGTAGTTCTTCGGCCTCAGAAGTTGATAAATCGTGCGTGCATCCGCTAAATGCAAGCATATCCTTCTCGTAACGTAAGTGTAATGTGATATAAGGACCAAATGATCTCATCCTCTCCACCAATAACTACAAGTAACACAAAAAAAGAAGAAAAAATCGAAATCAAAAGGTCATAGTATAGTAAAAAGTAAACAAAGAAGCCAATAAGAGTTAGAATCTAGTAATATACATTTCCCATCTTTTCAATGCGAGGAGAGAAACGAAGAGCTTCAAAACAAGCACGACAACGAAGCTTTTGAATATCTAGAGGTAGATTGTTATTCGCTAATCGAGAATCGGTTTTGGAAGCTTGAATAACCTTTAGAAATTTCAACAAATTAGACAGTAAGATCAATAAATCAATAGTAAGATAGAAATTTATATACCAATAGGTTACTTACTTTGAAATCATTCCAAAGGGCTGAAATCTCTTTTTGATAGTACTCTATACCAGACCAGCTTTTGAACTGCTTCACCATTTTGGTTGCATTAGCCAGATTCTTGGGAAGTTTCTTGATGATTTTTATATCATCAGCAAGAGAACTGATAAACCTCTTTTCATCAAAGATATCAGAGAAATTGCTGCAAATACATCAAGCAATGAACTATAAAACATAATATGTAAAATCAAATAACAGAAACCCAAAAGAACTCGATAGAATTCAAAAGTTACCTATTATCTTTCCAAAATGACTTTTTGTCAAGCTCTGGAATTACAAGGGTGGCGTTTATAATGCGAGCTATTGCTACCATATCACATATCTGCAGTAAAAGAATCAAATTTTCAGCTTCTAGTAATATAACAATTAATGAACACCCAAAAGTGAAAAAAGCTGAACTAAAACTAAGATATTTCATATGAGAGTAGTTTAAAGAGAGAAAACAGACCCCAATGCGCATTTGGTTGAGTCCACCATTTGTATGTACTAGAAGGTAACCACGCGAATTTCCAGGAGCTGAATGAACATTTTACACTAAAATCAAGTACAGTTAAGGGGAATAAACACACACTTACAAATTGTAACATAATCTTTGATATTATAATCTTTGATATTATTTATAAGAGAAAATTTACTTTTTAAATTTATTGAATAATCAATATATCTAATTAATATATTATTCAAGTACATTAGATTTGTTGAATATAACCAATATATTTAATATATAGTATTATTTAAATACATTAATTATTCAATATATTTAAAAAGTAAATTTTAAGTTTCTTACTTGTGTAATTAAGGGAAGGTTTTGTACAAGGTAGAAATCCATGATTAGGTGGAGGCTTCCAGAGTTTCTCATAGTTTAGTTCTGTAATCCCTCTTGTATTATTCAACTGCCAAAAGTAAAGGAGTCAAACCAGATTCCAATGACTTTGTATAATTTAAAAGATATTATAAATAGAGGTGACAAAGAAGTATATCTGTCTCAGAAAAAATAGATAGAAATAAATGAACATATTTAAGAGTATAGACTTAAAATCTTGACCCGCTGTGAAAAAAATTGGGATGAGACAGATTTTGTAAAAGTTTATATTAACATTTATGTCAGTAAAAACAAGATAAAATATGATGTGCATGTTAGAGCATGCAGGTCTAAAACAAAATGAAATATGGTGAGAATACTCTCTCAAGATTTCATGTTTGAATCCTACGGGATGTAAACACTTTTTGTGTTGGACCATATCTATAGAGTTTTGGGCCCCAAATAGATGGTGGAATTGGTCCCTTTAAATTAGTCAATAGGCAGAATACCAAAATTAAAAAAAAAAAAAAAACACATTTCTAACTTTGTTATTTAAATTTTTTTATAAAAAACCTATCAATTTAAATTTCATTTCAGTTCTCTAAATTGATTGTGCAGGACTATGTGAATAAATGAGATATCTATTTGGAAACACAAAACCTTAGAAGCAGAGACTGAATCCTTAGATAAATGAAGCAGATCAAGCTCTTGGGTCCAGCTTTGCAGGTCACGAAACTGTCAAAATTTGAGTACAACACTATTTACTATCAACACAAAATTTCAATAAATAAACTTCCATAAAAACCACATGAACCAAAACTAGCAAAATATACTATAATCTATTTAAACTCATCAATAAATAATATGCTTAAAAAGATTACTAGCTTTTTTTAAAGTCATAAATAGAAATATTGTTGGAGATGTTCATGGAGTATCCCAAGTGAATAGGAACAAACATGAAAAACTCAAACCTAATAATAACCACACAAAAAAAAGAAGAAAAAGGAGAATGATATAATATATACTAACCGTGTGAATCTTTTCATTGAACTTTTTATGATGAATTTTCGAAGTAGTGGATACATGAACATGATGAACAAAGAAGAAACAAGTGATAGCTATTGAGAAAACGGTTGCACCAAGAAATCTCCATAATAGAATGCTCAAAGGAATTTTTTTACGCTTCTGCATTAATCCTTTTGATGAAAAAACACTAAAATCACCTAAGTTGATAATGATTTTTCTCCCTACAAAACAAAAATGATATTATTATTATTATAAAATATAAACAAAGAGAAAAAACATAAACAGATACTAGATTAGGTTCGGGAATGTTAATAATGATTACAACGTGAACCTCGGACTCTTGGAGTACTCATGTTTTTTTTTTTTGAAGTGAAGGATGATGATGATGAGTATTTAAGAAAACGGATTTTGGTGGTTTTTGTTTTTGTGTGAATAATGTAATGTTTTTTTATTGATGAAGTGAATAATGTGATGTTAAGTTGGAATCAATGTGGCGTTTGCTTGATTAGCACCATGATGTGGACGGTTTGTGAATATTATATTTACTTGTTAGTTACTCATTTCACTTCACTCCACTCCATAAATGACTCTCTTTTTAATGCTTCCTACTTCTAAGATTTTATGTGGGTCCCTTCCTTCTTTTTCTCTCCCACTCTTGTTTCTTTTAAAGGTAAACTTAAATAAACTAAATTATTTTTAATTTAAGATAGACTTAAAAAAAATGATTTTTGTTATCTTAATCATTTGAAAGTAATGTATCATTTCTTTTACAAAAATATATCATTCAAAAATATATTTTTAATTTTTTCTTCCAAATTTTAAATAAATTTAATGTAAACAATGCTAAAAATAAAGTAATTAATAAAGGTGTGAAAAATACAGGGGAATTTGAATTGAATTTTAAATCAAAATTTTATTTTTAAAAATATTTTATTTTAATTAAAATATTTTTTTCTTCACTCTTGATAATAACAATAATTAAGACTATGAAGTAAAGAACAATGTATGTTTATACTAGTTCACTTGAAAATTATCAAGTTAGTCTAGTCTACACGTCAAGGTGATTTCGCCTCTATCAATCGAGAATTTAATCCAATAATCCAACTGATTATCATAATGTACAAGCTACCCGCAAGTGACTAACAACCTCAAAGACACACAAGTCCTAGACTTTTTAAGGATGCAAACCTAACTGGTCCCTTAAGAAAAATCAAACAATAATCCAACTGATTATTACAATGCACTAGCTACCCGCAAGTGACTAACAACCTCTAAGACACACAAGTCCTAGACTTCTTAAAGATACATACCTAACTGGTCCCTTAAGGAAATTCAAACAACCGTTTAAATACAAAATTTGTTTACAATGATATTGCTTCCACACAAGCTGAATATATAAACTATTTTAAGAACAATGACTTAAAAATATGAAATCTATGAACAACGCTTGTGCATGAATATTTCGTTGATTAGTCGCTTTCTCTCTTAGTCTTCAAGCCTTTATATAGCCAATAAAATAATATATCTGTTGAGGGATACTCTTGAGATTTCCAGAAACATTGGAAGCTTGACAGTAACGTGGGGACAAGATCGTGCGACACATTCGTCCTTTCATGGTAGTGGAATGAGACGTTGATTGTATCATGTACTATTTGCACCACGTTAACGTTATCTTCTTTCCTTTCGCACTTCAGAGGCTTCTGCGAGCATGAGTTTAAAAGCGAGAACATAATATAAGGTCATCAGAACTTCAAGTCTTCAGAGTCTTCAGAACTGCGTCTTTAGAGTCTTTAGCACTTGGTCGTGAGAACCTTTTCTTAGAATCTTGAGTCTTTAGAACTTCAAGTCTTCAGAATCTTTAGAACTTCTGTCTTCAGAGTCTTCAGCACTTTGTCTTTAGAACCCTTTACTTATAACCTTGGGTCTTTGAAACTTCAAGTCTTCAGAACCTTCAGAACTTTGTCTTCAGAGTCTTTAGACAAACATCAGAGCCTACACTTCAGAGTATTCTAGAATGTCTTGCTACTGTTCATCAGAACTTGTGTAGCGCAGAAGCAGAACTAATTCTCTTCTAATGTCTTGGCCACACCATTCATCAGAAGCAGAACCTGTTTGTTAAATACTCGAATAACAAACATTGGAGTATCAAAGTTGTTTATACAAACATACTCATTTGTTATTATCAAAACTCGGATAATATTGCAGAACCAAATCTTGTTCTAACAATCTCTCCCTTTTTGATGATGACAAAACTATGTATTTTGATGATACAATTTTGTTCATATAATCAGAAAAAGTGAAAATAAAAAGGTAAGAAATACTTATCTTTTTTATGAAACTCCCCCTGAGTCAATGAATTGATGAAGCTCGAATATCCTGACTCTGAACCATTTGAGTAAAAACTCTCCCTGGTTCCAATAGATCAGATATTGAGATCTTGAGAGTCTTGACTCTTGATGCTAATGAAAATGAAATCAATTGAAGTCTTGAAACTTTAATATCACTAAGATAACTTCCAGATTCTCAATTCTTAGAGTCGGATCAATGAAATCAGTTGAAATCTTGAAACTTTAATGTCACTAAGATAACTTTCAGATTCTCAATTCTTGGAGTATGATCAATGAAATCAATTGAAATATTGAAACTTTAATGTCACTAAGACAACTTCCAGATTCTTAATTCTTGGTGTCTGATTCTAGATTTCAATTCCTAGAGTCTGATTATGAACTGAAAAATATCTTCAAAGTCTGAAGCCAAGTCTGAAGCCAACAGGTTAGACATAAGCCTTGCATAATGCTTTTAGATCTTTGTCTTTAATCAGAGTTCTAAAGAAAACAATTCTAACAGAAACAAAAGTTTAACTGGGTTAGAATGTAAGTAGTTCTTTTCAGAGAACATTTTCCAGAACTTGGTTATTAGAATCAAAATTAAGTTTATTTAATTACTCCCCCTTTTTGTCATAATCAAAAAGGTAATTATGTGTGAAAAACATAAAAACTAGAAGAAACAATATGAAAAGATAGGAAGTTTCATTGATATTTTAAAACGATTATAACAAAAGGAGAAACAACAGAATGAAGATAATTAAGGAAAACTAGCTAAACTTCAAACATATCACAACTCTCATCAAATAGAGCATTGCCTCTAATGAGCGGATTTCTTCCAACAATTTCAATTACATTAGCTAACTCAAACAGTTCAGAAAATACACATCCATAAGGAATGGATGATTTTTGGGAGTTTCTGGATGCAAGGATTGATAGCTTCAGATGATTAAATATTATTGCCGAAAGATGAATTGGAATACTCTTGCGAAGGAAATAAATAAGACACATATCTATAGGGAAAACTTTATCAAGATCTTACCCTCTGGGATGAAGGTTTCTCAGTAAGAACTGAAACCATATTTTTGCAAGCGGCTTCAAATGATCTAAATTAAGGGGCTCATATCTAAAGGAAGAATTAGGAACATTTGGAAACACATCAAAATCCATGCAGGAGTTGGGTAAATATGGACTCTGGATGGCTTCATCAAAGGAGAAGCGAGTGATGGTAATCATAACACTAAAGATATGAGAATGAATGATGTTTCCATCAGGATTGACAAAAACATGAAGCCAAAAATTCTTCAAGAGGTTAGGATAAATAGGACCTCTAAGCATTATTGCATACCCCAACCATCCTTGATTTTTAATAAAACCGTTGATGAAACCATCATCAGACACATAATTGGGTCTTTTCTCTTTTATTACTTAGAGAAGATTTTCATCTCCTTAAAAAGGTTCTAACAGCTATGGTATGAAGAAAAGCTTGAAGAGAAGAAATGGTTAAAGATGATACAAGGATAACAACTTGATGAAGGACTAAATATGATAGGAGATATAAATAGTCAGTTAATTCATTCAAGAAATGAGACAATTGAAGCACTCAAAGGAATTAATTTTGAGAGAGAAAATCAAATGACGTCATAGACTACTAAAAGTAGGGAATGAAAAGAGAATCATATCAAAAGTTAATATAGAAGAACATGAGAACACTTAATTAGAGCCGTACAAGGAAGTGATAACGAGAAATCATATCATATAATTACTACGCTTTCTACCGATTTTATAATACATTGAGTCGTCTAACTCCCGATTACTCCGAGTTTTTATGTCTTTTCACAGGTATAACATTTGTCAACTCAAGACAATGAAAAAAGGACCACATGAAGAAAGCTAAACAAGAAACAGAAGAGAAAAGAACAAAATCTCATATTTTGCACCTGTGACGACCGTCACACCCTGTGACGACCGTCACGCCTCCCCGACTAGAAAGAACGCTCGTCACACATCGTTGACGAGCGTAATGCGCTATTTAAGGCGCATTACGACCGTCACCCACCTGTGACGATCGTCACGCGCGTAAAGAGGAACATTATGAATTGGTGGAGACGTGGGTAACGTGAGGCAGAATCCTTATCCAATATTTCCTCTACTCAGTAACCGTGCATCCTATTTTCACGCCACTCAAGCCTCTTCCAAGATTTTCTCAACTGCAATATTTTCTCCTATATATATGTGGTAGTGCAAAGGGATGAGGGTCGAAGAATTTTTCCAGAGACCAAAATTGCTGCTTTTCTACATTAAACTATATTATTTATTTTTGAACCATTTTCATTCGTGCTGTAATTTCTATTTCAAGGTTTAGTTTTAGGTGTTAATTCTTCATTCAAGAATTAACACAATTCATTTACTTCAATCAAGCTGCAAGGAATATTGTAATACTTCAAGATTACCATATCAACTTTAATTCCAGGTTTTTATTGCAATTAATATTTATTCAATTTATGTATTATTCCAATTATTTTTATGAATTATATTTTGAATTGCATTATTGTTAAATCTATTATGTCCGGCTAAATTATTCGTACCGGTATGTGACTCTTAAGAACCGAAGGAATTCAGTGATACCTTGGCCAAAAATATTTATTTATAAAACAATTTCTGGTTTCCAATTTCCAAGATTAATTTAACTATCTTTGTCACGAGAGTGAGAGGTTAATTAACACGATTTTGCCACGAGAGTGGGAAATTAATTAAGGCAGGAACCTGCATGTGAGAGCTGGGGTTCAACCCAGATATTACTGGTAACGAAACATTAATTTTTTAAATACACGAGAGTGTTTTAATAAATTAATTAAACTCAAATTGTTTTCAAAAAGTGTTATTAAATTTAAAGTGCATCCACTAGGTTTAGTAGCATAACTTATTTCATGAACACGAGAGTGTGTGTCTCAGGTTTTTAAACAATTAGTTTTTACCGAAATACTTTATAGGCCAAGCGATTCACCGAATTCCTGAAGTCCGACTAT